AGATGGAGTTCTCAGGTAAGCAAATGAAGAAGTAAACAAAAATAAGGAGAAAACTGTGAGGTGTGGGAAGCAAGTAGAGAAGGCTTTTTTTCTTCCCTGAACAGAAGGGATTTTTGAAACAGCAATAAAGATGTGTATGTAAGTAACAAAGATGAAGGCAAAACAACCAAATGCTAATGTAAAACTGAATATTATGCCAGCAATTTCAATTACAAATGCATCTGAGCAGGCAAGTTTAAGTAACTGTGGGATTTCACAGTAAAACTGATTGATTGCATTAGAACAGAAATGAATAGTAAAAGTTCCAATTGTGTTTAATAAAGCACTGAGAAAGCTGGCAATCCACACAGTGCCAATCATTTTGATGCAAGCCTTCCTATTCATTATCATCTCATATCGTAAAGGATTGCAAATGGCAACAAATCGATCATATGCCATGACCGTAAGAAGAGAAATATCACAATCTATAAGGAAGACAAATAAGAGAACTTGAGCAACACATCCAGAATAAGAAATATGCCTTGCATTAATAATAGAATTGACAACAGATTTGGGGACAATGAGTAAAACAGAACCAATATCTTGTAGGGCTAAGTTCATCAGAAAGAAGTACATGGGGGTGTGAAGTTGGGAATCAAAAGCAACTGCAAGGATAATGAGAATGTTCCCTGTTATGGTCATTAAATACAGAATTAGAAATATAGCTGTGTGCATAACCTGTAGTTCTCGAATTGTTGAGAATTCCAGTAGAAGAAATAAAGATGTATCATTATCCATTGTTTTGTCACAAGTATTGTAAACCTAGAAGAGAAGAGTGATTGGCTAAAACGTTTCTCTTGAGAACATTTGAATAGCAAAATCATATGTTCAGGAAAAATTAAACAAAAACATGCTTTTCTAAATACCAATTAACAGTCCCAAACAAATGCATCTTTGTTTTACTACTTCAGTTGTCTTACATTAATTTAAAGTTTAGGGTTTGTGGGTCTATTAATTTTATCAAACAGTATTCATATCTCATATCAGCTTTAATATTTCTGAATTCAAAGGCAGTGGAGAAACACATTTAAAATTATTTTAACTAATAAGTAAAATAACTTAAAAAATATGCATAGGTAGCATGGAAGTAAAATTAAAAGCTATAGGAACAAATTATTTCTCACCAGGTTAAGTATAGCTTCATGAAATTAATTAATCATATCATCTTAATAATCTTTAACATTTCTCTATAAATGGCCTTGAAGAGACTTCAGAGAAAGAAAAATGTCTTTTTGACTTCCCTGCATCTGACTCATAGGATAATCAAACATTTATAAAAATACATAGGATTCAGATTTCATAAAATTTGTATCCTACTGGAGTTCCTACTATGTAGAAGAGAAAACATCTCTGAAGAGAATAAAGATGTAATGTATGTAATCTAATAACACATACATATATAGATATCTGTATAATATGAATATATGAAGAAGAAGAAATGAAGGCAAAAGGGAAAATAAATCCTGCTCTAATTTGATTTTCAGTTATTAGGTATTGATTTTCATATATTCCTGGAAACTTTTGTATTTGTCCTTTGAAACTGGTCATTGTGTGTATACTTTCCACCTATAAATATTGGTTTTAAATGATTTTCTGAATCAGGGGTAGCTTTATCAAGTCTTCTGTGGCTAACCAAAGACTTTTTTAACACCCAAGAGGTCCTACATAGCTGATTAAAATGAACTCCAGGGACATTTTTCCCTCTTCACTTTTCATTTTTCATTGCTGTTCCTAGTTAACATAATAAACACTAAAATCAATATAATTCTAAAAGTTATTATTCAAGTTAAGATTAATATTTAGCCAATCATGCAGGAGACTATTGTATCTTCCTGAAGGCCAAGTTATTGCCTTGCATTTTATTAATATTTAAATCATCTTGTGTCTTTGTATGGCAGCACCATAAAAGCACTGAGATCTAAGCAGTGAGATCTATTCCAGCTTTTTCTGAAAGAAACACTCTCAACTATTTACTTAATACTGGGATCCATGAGGCATTGATCAGACCGAAGGTTAAGCAACAGCTCTTTATTGAGAGAACACAGAAGCAACTCTAACATCCGCTTGGCTTCTATTTATACTGGATTGCCAGTAGGCAGCAGCCAATTAATTTAAAGCACAATTTGCCGCCCAAAGTACAGGCTTGTAACTAACATACAAACAGTTAGGGACTTGATTTAAACATTTTCAGTTAACAGTTTATAACTGCCATTAGAAATTGGGTCAATACACAACAAAACCTATTACAGGTAATCTTCAACTTATAACTGATCACTTTATGCCCTTTTGCAGTTACAACAGAAGGGGTGCTCTATGGCCTTATGGTGCTTTAAGAAAAAAATCCAGGTAATTATATATGGTTATGTTATCCCCCTGCAGTCATACGATTGCATTTGGGTGAGTCAACTTTACTATCAGTCATAGGATTCCACAATCACATGAACATAATTTCCAAAAATTTTCTTCCAATGTTTAAAATATACATCAGTTGACAATATTGGTATTATTTGAAAAAAGGAACAAAATCAATAAAGAGAAGAATGAGGGTGACATGGTAGCAGTGTTCCAATATCTCAGGGACTACCAGAAAGAAGAGGGAGTCAAGCTATCCTCCAAAGCATCTGAAGGCAAGACAAGAAGCAATGGATGGAAACCAATCAAGGAGAGAAGCAACCTAGAACTAAATTTGCTGACAGAAAAATTAATCAGTGGAACAACCTGCCTCCAGAAGCTGTGAATGCTCCAACACTGGAAGTTTTTAAGAAGAGACTGGACAGGATATAGGATTTCCTCCTGGTTGTACTAGATGACCTCCAAAGTCCCTTCCAACTATTATTATTATTATTATTATTATTATTATTATTATTATTATTATTATTATTATTATTTAATATGGCCTTGAAGACAGGACTATGTTACCAAGAACAGGAGTTGGAACTTTCGGTAAAGTCTGTAAGATGGTTATAGTATTAATTAATTAATTAATTAAGTATTAATTCATTTGCCAAATATGTATTTAGTGTTGTATATATTGCACTGGCTATTAACATATGTATGTGTGTGTGTGTGTGTGTGTGTGTGTGTGTGTGTGTATAGCATGTATATCTATATGTATATAGACAGTATATGTATATACTGATATACATCCACAGGCTTATGACTGAAAAGATTAAATATATTTGTCCAAATAATTTGGGATTTTCAGTTTATGTTTTCTGAAGTCCATATTTCCTAATCTGGGCCCAGTGCTCTTCAACCTCTTCATCAACAATTTGGACGAGGGGATAGATGGGGAAATCATCAAATTTGCAGATGACACAAAGCTGGCAGGAATAGCCAACACTCCAGAAGACAGGCTTAAGATACAGGAGGATCTGGACAGACTTGAACACTGGGCACTATCTAACAAAATGAAATTCAATGGTGAAAAAAGTAAGGTTCTACATTTAGGCAAGAAATACCAAATGTACAGGTATAGTATAGGGGGTATCTTGCTCAATAGTAGTAACTGTGAGAGGGACCTCGGAGTCTTAGTGGACAATCATTTAAATATGAGCCAGCAGTGTGCTGCAGCTGTCAAAAAGGCCAACACAGTGCTAGGCTGCATTAACAGAGGGATAGAATCAAGATCACGTGAAGTATTAATACCACTTTACAATGCCTTGGTAAGGCCACACTTGGAATACTGCATTCAGTTTTGGTCACCATGATGTAAAAAAGATGTTGAGACTCTAGAAAGAATACAGAGAAAAGCAACCAAGATGATTAGGGGACTGGAAGCTAAACCATATAAGGAACGGCTGCTGGAATTGGGTATGTCTAGTTTAATGAAGAGAAGGATGAGGGGGGACATGATAGCAGTGTTCCAGTATCTCAGGGGCTGCCACAAAGAAGAGGGAGTGAAGCTATTTTCCAAGGCACCTGAAGGCAGGACAAGAAGCAACAGATGGAAACTAATCAAGGAGAGAAGCAACCTAGAACTAAGGACAAACTTCCTGACAGTTACAACAATTAACCAGTGGAAAAATCTGCCTCCAGAGGTGGTGAATGCTCCAACACTGGAAGTTTTTAAGAAGAGACTGGACGGCCATTTGTCTGAAATGGTATAGGATTTATTATTATGAGCTGAAAATGACATACTTTGCATTGGACATGGGAAGAAGCATCTTTAATTGTCTGTCCATTGAAGTCTCTTTTAACCTGTGCTTTTCTGACTGTATTAAGTCTGGGTCAATTCTGATTAGTTAAGATTCAAAGGAATCTTTGAAAATTTGAGTTATAAAAGGGATTGCTTCAGACTCAAGGGAGATTTTCATATCAATAATGGTTCAGGCTCCCCTACAGAGTAAAGTCATAGTCCTAGACTAAGTCAGTAGGTACTTTTTCAAGGTTTTGTGAATGCTGGAAATAGAAGGTCCATAGTATGTCTTTTTCTCATAAGGAAAGTAGCATATATAGATAGTTATCTCTATACAAATGTTTTGGGTGCATTAAAGAAATCCCTTTAGCCAAGGTTATGGATTAGAAGTCATAGTGGTGTTAACCCCATATTGCCTTGTGTCTGGTAATTAGAATTAATTTTACAACTATAAGTGATTGGGTTCAAAGAGAAGGGATTGTGGAAGATTAGGGTAGCAGGAGTAACTACTACAGCCTAATTTAAAGGAAAAGTAGAGAAGGAAGAGATCCAAGAGGAAAAAAATGGAATTTTCACCAACCATGAAGGTTTAATAGGAGAAGGAGAGCCTAAAAAAGAAAAGGCTGAATATGGATAAAGCCTGAGGAAAAATTGAAAGGAAAAGTATTCTCAAGTGGCAGGTTAATATACAACAAATCCAGAAGATGGAATCTCCCTTACAACCATGTTGTGATTACAATTATTCTGGAAAAAAAACTATTTTTTGTATGTACAGTATGACACAAACATTTGAAAACTGCAACTCAACAAACATATACAAAAGTGCAGAATTTTTATATATTTATTGTTACATTTTTATTTAAGAATGAACAGGTTAACATCCTTTGTTTTATACAAAAACAAGTATTTTAACCTAAAGGAGTATGAAACTCGATAGTAGAATTCACATTAAACCCGTCTTTCATATTTTATTCTCTGCTATTACATTGTCCATTTTCTAATTCCCAGAGTGAAAATTTTTGAAAGAGCAATTTTGATGTCCTTGTTTCTCATGCTGTAGATTATTGGGTTTAACATGGGTGGAATAATGGAATAGGTTATTGTAATAGTAAAATCAAAATGTGATGGTTTGTCAGGTCGAGGAATCAGGTAAGCAAATGAGGAGGCAACCAAAAATATGGAGAAAACTGTGAGGTGGGGAAAACAAGTAGAGAAGGCCTTTTTCCTTCCCTGAACAGAAGGGATTCTTGAAACAACAGAAAAGATCTGTGCATAAGTAATAGTGATGAAAATAAAGCAACCAAATACTAATATCATAATAAATATAATATATCCAAATTCAATTACATATATATCTGAGCAGGCAAACTTAAGTAATTGTGGGATTTCACAATAGAACTGATTGATTGTATTAGAGCAAAAATGATTAGTGAAAGTGCCAATAGTATGCAGCCCAGCATTGATGAGGCTGACAATCCATACAATGCCAACCATTTTGTTACAGAAGTTTTTGTTCATTATCATTTCATAATGCAAAGGATTGCAAATGGCAACAAACCTATCATATGCCATGATAGTAAGGAGGGCAATATCACAACTCATAAAGAAGGCAAACAAGAGAACTTGAGCAACACATTCTGAATAGGAAATATACCTGATATTCATTGCCATATTGAAAACAGCTTTGGGAATAATGACTGAAACAGAACCAACATCTTGCAGAGCTAAATTCATCAGAAAGAAGTACATGGGGGAGTGAAGGTGGGAATCTAAAGAAACCACAGAAATGATAAGAAAATTGCCCATTATTGTCATTAAATAGAGTACCAGTAACAAAGTTAAGTACATAATCCGTATTTCCCATAACTTTGAGAATTCCAAGAGAAGAAACTCTGAAGTATGATTATCCATTTCTGGTCTCATATATGATAGATCTGGAAGATAAAATAGAAACTGTTAAAATATTTCTGATTCATTTTATGTTTACATACAAAGTTGTATACTTTCAATTAAGAGTTCATTAAAATTATCCTTCAAAGTTATTGAAGAGTTTTAATAGAAATTTGCATACCTGCCCTTACATTATGATGTTTTTTCTCTAAATTTGGTATATAAAGTATTGTTTAGTAGATATTATATTAAATTATATTATATTAAGTCAGAATATCAGCAAATAGCCCGAGCCTGCAAAGATGAAGTGAGGAAAGCTAAGGCTCATAATGAACTAAGGCTTGTGACCAAAGTCAAAAATAACAGAAAAAAGCGTCTTTCAACATGTAAAAAACAAGAGAAAAGTGAAGGAAATGATTGGTCCATTAGTGGGTGAAAGTGGAAAGAAGGTGACAAGCAATAGGGAGAAAGCAGAACTATTTAATTCATTTTTTGCATTTGTCTTTACACAAAGAGAAAAAAACAGACCAACCTATCAAAAATAGTGCCATAAAAAACAGAATAGAAACACAAGAAAGGCAAGAAAATGGTAAGTGAGCACCTGTCCAGCCTAGATGAGTTCAAATCACCAGGACCAGATGGATTACACCCCAAGGTTCTCAAGGAACTGGCAGATATGATCTCAGAACCACTAAATATACTTTTCAAAGATCCTGGAGCACCAGGGAACTACCAGAGGACTGGAAAAGAACAGATGTAGTTCCCATCTTCAAAATAGGGAAAAAATGGATCCAGAAAATTACAGACCTATCAGCCTGACCTCAATACCTGGGAAGATTCTGGAAAAGATAATCAAACAACGAATCAGCAAACACCTAGAGGCAAACAAAGTCATTACTAAAAACCAACATTGGTTTGTCAAAAACAGATCATGCCAGATAAATCTTTTTTTTTAATTTAATTTTTATTTTTTTATTTTTCCAAACACTCCCCCATATATGTACCGTGATATTTATCAGATGTTAACATACGTTCTTTTTACATTCTTATTACATTACATATAAGATATTTTTAATAAAGTGAAATAAATACATACACATGACTTTTGGTGTTGCTCATCCATTTCCCCTTTCACTGTATCCACACTCCTTCTTCTCTACCTTCTTTCTCCCTTTCTTCTCTTTCTTCCCCACTTCCCTTTTCTTACTCTCCTCTTCTCTTTCCTTCACCACTCTCCTCCCCTTTCTCCCCACTTCTCCTCTTCTCCTCCAACCTTCCTACTTCCTTCCCTCCTCCTTTACTCTCCTCTCTCTCCTCTCCTTTCTTCCCTCTCATCCCTCTTCAGATATAATTCAGGGGTAATGTCCAAGCTACTCCTCTCTCCAAATTTCCCTATCTGTATTATATACAATAAGATTAATTTTCTCTTACATTAATACTTCTATTTATCTAAACTTTTTGGTATATACTTCTATAAATATTTATACAACCTCCAGTTATTCAATACTGTGTCACTTAGGTCTCCCTCCTTATCTGCTCCTTCTTCTTCCATCTAAATTGATGTTAACTATCTTTTAACTGTATTCTCTTTTCAGCCAATTATAAAAAGTTCCCCAGATTTCATAGTAGTCTGGCTCTGTCTTATTTTTAATTATCATTGTTAGTCTATTCATTTCTGCACATTCCAGTATTTTCCTAATCACCTCTCCCTCTGGGGGGGCTTTCAGTGCTTTCCAATTTTGCGCAAACACAATCCTGGCTGCCGTAATTATATGAATAATTAAATATGTTTTCTCTTTATTGTATTTCCCTGGTAGAATACCCAACAGCAATATTTCTGGTCATAGTTCTATATGTTATTGTATCATCTTTTCTATCCATGTTCTAATTATATTCCAATAAGTTTTAGCTTCTACATATGTCCACCACATATTGTAGAAGGAATCTGGTATCTGATGACATTTCCAACAGTTCATAGACCTGTCCTTAAACATTTTAGCTAATCTTTCTGGAGACATGTGCCATCTGTAAAACATTTTGTACATATTTTATTTATACGCAGTCACCATTGTCAATTTATAGTTTGTTTCCCATAGTTGCTGCCATCTATCTAATTCAATCATGTATCCAAAATTCCTTGTCCGTTTTATCATTGTCTCTTTCACTTGTTCCTCCTCTAACTCCATATGTATAGATAACTGTACATTTTTAATCCATTTTTCTTCCGTTCCTGTGAGTATTTCATCTAACTCTGTTGTCCCCAAATTAACACCATCTATTTTAACATCTTTTTCATATCTAGATTGTATTTGCATTCTCATGTACCAATCCATCTTTATTCCTTCTTCCTCTAATTGTTGTTTGGTTTTCAACTCCCCCATATCTGTTAGTAAGTCTTTATATCTTATAATATTTCCCATGTTAAGCATATTGGGGTGTATTAGCACCTCCATAGTTGAGAGCCAATTTGGAATCTTCAAATAGTGCTTTCTCTTTACTTTCTCCCAGACCACAAATAAAGAATTCCTTATTTGGTGTCTTTGGAAATAGCTATGTATTCTGTTTTTTCCATATCATATGAAAGCATGCCATCCCAACTGTAAATCATGTCCCTCTAATGTCAATAATCTTGTATTTCTCAATAAGATCCATTCTCTCATCCATGATAATGATGCAGCCTGATAGTACAATTCCCAATTAGGTAGACCAAACCCACCTCTCAATCTTGTATCTTGTAACATTTTTAGATTAATCCTTGCCTTTTTTCCCTCCAAATATATTTCAACATTATTTTATTAAGCCCCTCAAAATATTTCTTATCTAATCTTATTGGTATTGTTGAAAACAAAAACAATAATTGTGGTAATATATTCATTTTGATTATTGCAATCCTTCCCATTAATAATAGTTGTACATTTTTCCATTTATCCAAATCTACTTCAATTTGTCTTTTCAATTTATGATAATTATCCTCTTTAATTGTTGTGCATCTTGCTATCAGGTAGATCCCTAAATATTTTATCTTCTTTACAATCTGTATATCTAATTTTCCCACTAGTTCTTTTTTTGTTTTGTTTTTCAGTAATATTTTTTACTAACATTTTGGTTTTATCTTTATTAATTTTCAACCCCGCTATCTCACCATATTTTTCTATTTGTTCTATTAATATAGGTCCTGTCTCTAATGGTTCCTCCAAAATAAATACTAAATTGTGTGCAAATGCTTGTAATTTATATTCTCCCCTCTTAATTTTCATCCCTTTTATGTCATTATTCTGTCTTATATGTCTATTTAATACTTCTAATGTCAGAACAATAGTGGAGATAGGGGACATCCCTGTCTTGTTCCCTTCATAATGTTGATCTTCTCAGTCATATCTCCATTTATCATTACTTTGGCTGATTGCTTATTATAAATTGTTTTGATTACATTTATAAATTTCTCCCCAAAATCATAGTCTGTAATTGGCTTATCATGAATTGCCAGTTCACACTGTTGAATGCCTTCTGTGTGTCCAGGAACACCAATGCTGTCTGTTTCTCGGAATGTGTTTCATAGTATTCTAATGTGTTCAATACAATTTGCATATTGTCTCTAATCTGTCTTTTGGGTAAGAAGCCATTTTGATCTGATTGTATAAATTCATTTAAAATTTTTTTAAGTCTTTCCACCATTATTGATGCAAATAATTTATAGTCCACATTCAGTAGGGAAATCGCCCTGTAGTTCTTTATTTTCTGTGTTTTCCATTTCTTCTTTTGGTATCAGAGTAAAAAGAGCTTCAGACCACGAATCTGGTATCTTAGCTTCAGAAAGAAGTTCATTATAAAGTTCCAACATTACATTGCCTAGTACTTCCTGCAAAATCTTATATAGCTCTGCTGGTAGTCCATCCAGTCCTGGTGTTTTACCATTTTTTTTTGTCTGTTGATTGCTTCTATTAATTCCATCATTGTTATTTCCCCTTCTAATAACTTTTTAAATTTCTCTGCATGCCAGATAAATCTTATTGCATTCTTTGATCAAGTGACAAAATTAATGGATCAGAGGAATGCTGTGAATATAATTTACTTGGACTTCAGTAAGGCATTTGATAAAGTAGATCACAACCTACTACTCAATAAGATAGAAAAATGTGGGTTAGACAGCATCATCACCAGATGGATTCACAGCTGGCTGATCGACTGTACTCAGAGTGTGTGGTCCTCAGTTGAACTGCATCTACATGGAGGGAAGTGTGTAATAGGGTGCCCCAGGGGTCTGTTCTGGGCCCAGTGCTCTTCAACATCTTCATCAATGGTTTGGACGAAGGGATAGATGGGAACTCATCAAATTTGCAGACGACACCAAGCTGGCAGGAATAGCCAACACTCCAGAAAACAGGCTTAAGATACAGGAGGATCTGGACAGACTTGAACACTGGGCGCTATCTAACAAAATGAAATTCAATGGTGAAAAAAATAAGGTTCTACATTTAGGCAAGAAAAACCAAATGTACACATATAGTATAGGGGGTATCTTGCTCAATAGTAGTAACTGTGAGAGGAATCTCGGAGTCCTAGTGGAAAATCACTTAAATATGAGCTAGCAATGTGCTGCAGCTGTCAAAAAAGCCAACACAGTGCTGGGCTGCATTAACAGAGGGATAGTTCTTATAATATTTCCAAGAAGATTACACAACCAATTGTAGCATACTTCAGTGACCCTGAGGGCACAGACAAACCACAAATGGCTTCAACTGCTCTAAGAGAATGCTAACAACCAGATGACTGAAAAGAAACACAAGCCTGGACTTCCAGTTTTGCACCGTAGCACACAGCCATGCGATTGTGGAGCTCCTCACCCCATAGCTAGTTTTGCCCTACCAGGGGATCCTAAATGGGTCTAAAGTCACCCTGGAGAGGCAACGAAGAAAGAGGGGTATTCTGATGATCACAGAATGGCAGTGATCATTCTGCTTGATCCAGAGAAAGTCCTCCAACCTGACAGGAGAAAGGCTGGCTACACTTCACTGACCAGCCCAAGCTACTAGCAGCCGATGTCCAAAGTCACTAAACAGAATAATGGTGAACATTCTCTGTCCTATTTTATATCTGATTTCTTGAAAAAGATCCCCAAGAAGCAAAAATCCTCCCAAAGTGAGAAGTGACTACACCCCCACCCTCTCATAGATGGAAGCGGCAAATTCAACTCTCACATGGGACAAAAATATATTGAAATGAGGTTAAAAATACTACAGTCTGAATAAATTTGAAAATTAAGAAAACTGCTAAAACTTCATACCTGAAAAAGTATTGAAATTATATATAAAATAATAATAATAATAATAATAATAATAATAATAATAATAATAATAATACCAAGCCTTAAGAACAAATGCATACAAAGTCAAAATTGAGAAGACAGCAACAGACAGTAAGTGCCACCTATGCAAAGAAGTTGAAGAAACAGTGGACCACTTGGTAAGCTGTTGCAAGAAGATTGCACAAACTGATTACAAGCAGCGGCATGACAAAGTAGTAACAATGGTGCATTGGAAGATCTGCAAAAAATATCATTTGCCTGTAAGCAAAAACTGGTGGGATCATAAAATAGAGAAAGTCATAGAAAATGATAAAATTAAACTGCTCTGGGACTTCAGAATTCAAACAGACAAGCACCTGCAACATAACACCCCAGACTTAACAATTGTCGATAAGAAAGACAAAAAAGTCTGGATAGTGGACGTGGCAGTGCCTGGAGATAGCAGAATAGAAGAGAAAGAACTGGAGAAGATAACAAAATACAAAGACCTACAAATAGAAATAGAAAGACTGTGGCAAAAGCAAGCAAGGGTAGTACCAATAGTCATAGGCTCCTTG